TTATGCACCAATTTACCAGCTCGCGCGTGCAATGCGCAGCTACCTACCCCCCCCCAATCATCGGTGAACGAAACTGTGGCAGCTACAACCAATGTACGACAAGTACGCGGTTCTTACAGCTGACAATGATGATGATGACTTCAGACTGATAACCAAGTTGTCCTTTACTGTTTTATGTTCATTGGAAGACCGCTGGAGTAAGCCACATTCGGGATCAGAACTGATTTATTTAGATTCAGCTGATTCAACTGAACACCACCACATTTAACTTGCGATCAACCTACATATACACAGTTCACAAGATAAGGAGAATATGACCTTCCGGTAAATATTATTTGTTTCGTAGGTCCGTAACTCTGGATACGTCCTACTTGCTTTCGCGTGCATTGGTGGAATTCCTTGAAGTCCGTGTATTCATTTGATTACTTTCATCATTATCTAGCTGCGCTTGCTTCCCACTTTTATTCTTCCTCTTGCCATGAGATGAAAACCGATTAGGCTAGAATTATTTGCCGTTCATTTCACGTCGCACCTGTAGGGCTACGAGTGACAGTTATTGAAGACCGAATGAAAGCAGGCTAGCATTGTGGCCTGGCAGCTGGAATTTAGCATAACTTCTCTCTTCCCATGTCACTGACAAGAATGGACAATGCATGAGTCGTTTCGTCGCATTCGCGATTTTCATCTACTGAAAGATGACCTTGTCATACTCTGTGCCTGTCTAGACCATGCACGTGATTCACCGCTTTGAACGGTCAAAGACCGAAACGGACCAACTGTCCTCACATATGGAGCAACATAAAGAGAACTCACATGCCTATCACCAACAATGAATGCGAGTTGGTGTTTACACTAGGACAGTAATGTCAACAATCTGGCGGCAAACAGACTGAAAGGAAACCGAGAACCTAGAGACTCTAACATTCTGAGCTGGTTTACATAACAGTGAAATCATATGGACGTTTTATTGTTCATCCAAGCAAAGACTTTATGGCGGATGATCCACAAACTCGCAAACCTCGATATTAAAAGGTTAGACCCACTGAAGTACGTGAACTTACACAGCTGTGTAATACTGGCTACAATAATGAACGACATTTATTAAGGCGCCCCAAGCTCTACTGCAGCTCAATCCATGGACTACGATGTTGCAAGTTGGACACATGGTGTTCGGACCGCTGTTTATTTCTCTTGGCTTTCTACTGGGGCTTTGGCCTTCGGTTGAGGACATAAGCACGGTATTGGGCAGCTGTAAGAGAACGTATTCGGTTCTATTTTCCACTGCCATGATTTCGTGAAACCTGGCAAGTTTTCCATTGAAAACATGATAACCACGAGGACAATGGCTGTTGGTGCATGATGAATCACAGTACCGTTTCACCGAATGCGAACAGTCTATGAACAGGGTTAAACTTTGCTTGTAGGTCAGGTGGTAGTTCTAAGTGAGCAGAGATCGAGTACGGATGTGTTTAAATGTAAGCACTGGCATTCCAGTTTGAAACCGTCCTACTGAAATTCTCATTGTAATCAGATACAAAACACGACTACTGTCTTGTAACATTTTCTCACTACTGACGAAGTAATCGGTGAAGGTGAACCACGAATTGCAGGTGATAGATCTGAGCCTTGCCAAGAAAGTGATAGGCTCACTCGTTCGGCATAGTCATCACAACGAAGCACAACATGCATTTAGTTTACACTCGAATACCAGAAACCGCTCCGTAAAATCGACATTTCAATTGAGCATTGATTAAAGACTAGCCTGAAGCCAAAATCACAATAAATTACTGTGAACTGGCAACACAAGATGTCTCATTCTTTCATTCTGATACAATTAGAAGAGCGCCCAAACACACGACGTAACTGAACTGCATGAATATCGACTTAATCGATTACTTTTCATCGTAAGTCAAGCCGGAGTGAATCGGCACATTGTTGAGCGAAACAGGGAATTAATGTGAAATGTCAACTAGCGACAACAAAATCGAGGTTTGTGTTGTACACATAAGGTGTCATTCTGTTCGGTTGATACACCAAAACTACACATATCTTTATGATGTCTTTCAGTATATTTAAGGTCATCCGGTGTAATACGCTAGGTAGGTAGTGAATGGCATGTTCTCATGCTGATGTTCTGGTGAGCAGTTGGCATAAGCATACATTGTTGGGCAGCGACACCCGGATGTAATAATGATGACAATACTAGTAATCATAATAATGCGTCGCAGAGAAGCGGGAAAAGTCCATACCGTCCAAACATTCGCTTTGGTTGAAATTAGTTGCCTAAAATAATTGCAACGTGATGGAAGGCGAAATGAAAACCACCGTAGAAATTAGTCGATGTCCATTATATGGGACGCCAACTGTGTGAATGCTGAAGACATTAATACATTCCACTCATAAACCAGTTCATTTTTCTAACTGGCAAAAACAAATTGCTCTCGGATCGAGAATTAGCCACTGGAAAGAACGCTAACCCAAACCACCACGGAACGACAAATACCCGTCCAGCAGCCGTTCCAGATTAGAAAGAAGTACTCGAATTCATTTGTACCCGGTCGCGCCGATCAGGAAGCCAGTTACCCATATGCGGCAAACGTTTCTGCAAGATGGTAAATAACGGCAAGGCACTACGGCACAGTACATATGGGGACGGACAGTGCATTGACAGTACTGCTTGTTGATGCTCGGGGATGTGTCCTCGAAGTGTTGCCGTGACGCCTAGGTGAGACTAGCCATCAATAACTAACCTTTTTAATCAAACCGAAGGTAAATGAAGGATACCACTAGCTCGAAAACAGACCTTGTGCAAACTGACGCTGCAGTTAGTCAGAATGCATTCAGACTTGTTCAGAACGCGACCAAAAAGTGCGTAGAAGAGAACCAACTTCTAAATACTACCAGCCCGTAAAAAGGCAGCACAGAATGGTCATGCCATGCCCAGACTAGTTTGAAAAAGACGCACGAAATTGTTACACTGTAGAAGACGCAAACTAGCTGTTGGAATTTCCCTAGGGAACAACGCCGTCTAGACAGGTGCCGATCGCCTTCGTGATACGGCATACGGTTAAGAGGTGATATGTCAAGCGTAGGACAGGCGAACAAACAACAATGACCGATTGATTTTGAAGGTGGAATGGCCTTCACCTGGACTTATGCTTGTGCCTTCTAATCTAACGCCTCGTTAGTGGCAGAAGCAAACATACATTATTCCCAGTATTAGATTCAGATTAAAGGTAAGTAGACATGTACCACGCGTACAGATTTGCGGCAAGGTTGACTACTTCAGTGCTTTCTGGAAAAACGGAAAACTCGTTTCCTATTAGCAAAAACGTCGGGCAAATCGGCTTCAACGAGGTTTTTCGCACTTGTTAGCATGCCGCATGACTAGGACCTGGTTCATAAGCACATCTACGCCGCAGGACTCCTAATAAACGCTTGGCGGTACCGTGACCAGAACGTCGCTCTCCATCCAGATCGTGCGGAATACCAGCTGGTTGTTGAGATTAGACTGGAAGCTATAAAACTGTGCATATAGGAAACCCAAACACTTACGGCTTATCCGAGCTATGTGCCATTAAAGCACAGAAGAGTAAAGTTGGACGTCCTCCTCCCCAAGTCCAGTGCACCCCAACATGGACCATCAAGGGGAATACAATGTGAGTGTCCCGTGATTGGATTGATGCACAAAGTGCCGAACATAATAAACTGGACCTAAAATCTTGACTATCTCCTTCCTAATGAACCAGAGATGAACTGCTCGTTTTTCGGAATTTGGGAAAGGCTAGCACTAGGGGGCAGATGAATCGATACCCGTTTGGTCATGGTAATACGGGATGTTCAGAAATCTCCTGTGCACACTTGTGATACTGCTGAATGAGCTTCACAACTGAACTTTCTATACAAAGACGTTGTCCTATGGCCGGGTTAGCCTGATCACTCGATGAAAACTGAATACTCCAAGTCTTCAGTCAATCACATTGTAAGGAATAAGATGCTCCTGTCTTTCAAAACTGACACGGAATTCGCCTAGCACATTACCAAGGGCGTTATTGCAGGTGAATACAACCATAGAAGAGTAAATGCCTCCTCGAGCTGGATGGTAACCAAAATTCTCGCTAAGCACCGTCCATACCATAACATTACTGAGCCCTAAAAGATTCATCCTAAAAGAGTCGATCGATTCCGAAGAGTGCGTGATGGACAAAGACAGATGCCCTACAGCGACATTATCCACAATCTTGCGATGGACTGCAAATTCACGAGTATAGTGAAAGACAACCTAGCCTCTCCGCCAGAGGCACCATACGTGAATGCCACCCACACGAGTTTTCCTGAAATTAAAATTGCAATCAGAGGAGTATTTACGTCTACTCAACAGCTTAGTAACAAGCTACTCTTTATACAAACAAAGGGTAGCCGTCATGGGGTAGAGAAAGAAAAAAATCTTACAGGTCAATAACTGAAAAAAACCCATACGCGACATAAACTCGGGAGGCCGAGGTAATATATTCACGAAGCAGCCCACAAGGTCAGAGATCGAAGGGCACCTTCAAGAAGTAAAGGCAAACTCAGGTGAAAAGACGAATGCTCTGATGGCGGCGAACTTAGAGCCAACTAATGCCGCGTACAGTATCTGATGAACAGGTTAGTGGTATGGCGGATGTAAAGGATCACGGGCGACTTATGTACAAGATACAAGTGAAAAGAAATGAGTTCAACTAAATGGTAAGTAAGGGAGGTGAATCCGACCATCGATGATAAGGAGAGCACAACAAAATCCGAAAGTTTTGGGCGGCAAATGATCAACGTGATATATACAGTCATGCATCTATGTCTGGGGGACCAGCCGGGCGCGTTGCTGGGGATAAGCCCGGTCCAGTGACTGGTTGATGACGCGGGTTACAAACAATCAAGGAATTTTGGAAGCCTTTGTCGGGACCGATTGGGGGTTGAGGATTGGAACTCCCAGAAATGTGGCGACTCGCCTTGTTCACCGACTGGGCAGGTTGAGGTGAGCAGCTGCTGTTGTCCCTCATACCTCGAGTGACTGCATCCAAGGGCAATTGGTTGATATGCCCGAAAACGGTAGGGGAAAACTGGTCCAGGCCTATCGTAAAACGGTCAGCTGGAGCCGGTGGGTGTTGGAGGACTGAAGTAGCCACTGACGATTGAGCAGGCATGGACGACAAGCGGGAGGGAGCGATCGCTGGATTGTGATGCACAGCATTGAGGCCTGACCCGGATGAGTCACTCCCCGAAAGTGAACTGAAGTACGGGGAAAAGAACGTATAGAGTTATCAAATTTCATTAAGTTCACATACATGTCCAACAAACGTACAAGGTCGAAGTAAGCAGAGTGGTGATGTGCTAAATACAGGACAGTCCCAGTGACTAGTACGCGTAATTTGATGACGGCGGGAATGCGACTCAGACATAGCACTAAAAGGTTTCGCGTCTGAGGACAGCACTTGTTCGAGTCCCTGGACAGTAGGGAGCAGCTGGTCCAAATAGGGGACAACAAGCAATACAATCTAGGTTTGTAACTAGTTCAATAGATATTCACATTGTCTCCGATGTCGATGGCGCCCAGTACATCAAAGCAGAGATAGTCGGTTATATTGAAAAATGCTGACGACCCTTTACTGAATGCTTTGTAGAAGGAACCAAGAGATCAAACCGGTTAGCTAAATGTGGAATGTACAAGGATGAATGAACGAGGTGCTACAGAGGAGACGCACCCCTTGGTCAATGGTGCCGTGTTTACAGCTGCAGGTAAACGAAAACACCAAGATCCAGAGATAAAATCGGGATGTCAATCTAGGTCTGACTGGTTACTGAATGTCAGCTGGAAGCTACTGCGTGGAAGGAGAACAATAAAATCTGCTAGAGTGCGCAATGCAGGGCGAACCGGTCCAGGAGACAAGCTCACCAAGTAATTCACTATTAAATCAACGAGACATTACTCATGCAACGCGGATACACAAAGTACTACCCTTCCTAATGAACTAATTTTAGGGATTCCAGATTGCCTTACTGACAGTGGATGAGGAAAAGAGACAACCACAATTTATATCCTTCATGCGAGGTACGCGATTGTTTACAACTCTTTCTAATGATTTTGTCAGTAAGATGATCATTTCATTTCATTCATGTGCGCAATTTTCTCAGATTGACACATTGGCACGCACAACCAACCTGGATGTTACCAGTTAACTTATATCCCGCGGGCCACTACGAGCGAGTAACTAAAGGTAGTCGAATAAGAATCCCAAATGTATAAATGGGCATGAACAAGAGAAACATTGGCCAAATTTGATTCCCAGCCCCATTGTTGTGGGTCCGTGGTTCAACATCCCAAATGCCGGCTCGCATAACCGCAAAAAGAAGCTTAGTGGACCTCGATACGGTGGTTCTTATCGAAACACGTGACGACCGCGATTGCAGCTCACCTAATCGATGCGGATCATCGGATCAGTCGACTGCGACCAAACAGCCTCAAGGTCGTTAAATAAAAAGCACTCTCAACCGCGGAAGCCATCGCCATTCGACTATATTAATCAATTTTGTGTCACCAAAAACGTCATGTGAAAGCGATGGTCCTGTCGTCGCCGATCAACCAATGGTATTAATTAATTTTGGTTGAGTGACTTAAATTCTGTTTTTTAACACACACCACCTTACCTGTTTCATGTAGACGCTATGCACATTTCTTAATCGGGCATTCCATTCACATCAATATTTACTAGTCTACACTTTACCTAAAATACCAGCTGAAGTCATGATATGCCGAACTACAAAAACCATGGGACCATCCCTTAGTAGAGGTAGTTCAGCTATCCGATTCATTGGGCAATATGTGCAATGCGTCCTTCAGGCGACCAGTGGGAGTGAACCTAGTTTTTGGATACCCAAATTCACCACTGCCACACAGAAACCAAACATTTATCAATTACTGAAAGAAAGGTGGTTCCTGTTCAGCAATGGAAGACCATTACAGGAATCTTCCCGTATCTTCAGTCCATCAGTCCTATCAACTCAATGGTGAATGTCGCTGCACCAATACAAAGTGTTCGTTCCAAGGAAAATGATCCTTATTTGGGAAAAGGGGAAAATTCGGAACGGTGAAACACTGTAGCCGGTGCCGTTGATTAGACTATTGTGCCAAAGATTCTCAGTGCATCACGTTCTCCCAATAAACGTTAGTCCTGAATGAGGACAAGACCCTCCACAGGACTCCAATTTCACGCTGTTTCTTCAAACATCTTTGTAATGGAAAATCGTCTTCCCGTGGAGATAATTCTCACGTGAGGCACCCTGGTAAGTCAAGATGCTATTGTCATGGTACCAACAATTCACACAAATAAATGTCTACAAACGTTCCAGTGCTTCCGCCTATTAACGCTTGGTGGAACTCAACAACCTAATGAAATATCCAATTATAAGAATACGAAACAACCAGACGTGTCAAAAATAAAAGTGCACTCGTTTAAAACAGCTCTGAGCGACCGATTATTTCGTCGTCTTCAACTTAACACGGCCTTGGTGGCAATCACCGAGATCCTACCCCATATTAATGTATAGTAGTAGCTTGTTAGGCCGAAGGACAAAAAAGCAAGGGATGATGTGAGGCGTAGAAGGAGCTGAGGACAAGATAAACCTATCGATCTCACCATTTTTGGTTGACCGGATAGATAGAGGGTAGTTTGAATTATTTCATCTCCAGCCCTCTATACAAAGGTGAGGAAATGAGAGATTGTGTTCGGGATTTAACAATAGTAGTTAACTCAGAAGCATAACCCACAAAATAAGAAGCATCAAATTTACCTCAATAGACATCATCTGAAGATACTTGGTAACTGGGAACCTGTGTGATACGAAGGACTCCGAGAAGCGCATGGTGGTTAAACTTATAAAACCATTGTGCACAGCGGATGCGTCTGCAGACACATCAGGTCCCTGTTCTGTTATACTTACATGGCCAATTAAATAGATCCACTCTGCACGTTTTTCTCCTCGAGTGCGCTGTTTACCTGGATTATTGCGGGATGACAACAATCATAGTAAAGAGTGAAATAATAGCTGCCATGAAAGCTGAAGAAAGTGTGTGGGCTAAGATCTTGCCCCGCTGTTCAAATCCAGACAAGAGCAGCCGAAAAGCAAGGGTCAGGTTTGAAACAGCCAGTAGCTTCATGCATTAATCGTTGAACTATCTAAAGAGGCAAGTGCAACGTTCTGTGGAAATGTGATGCGAGTGCATTCTTCCATACTGTTCAGCTTTTGCTCGACGGTGAATCTCGAACCTCCGCAAAATTATGTGTAATCCGCAAGTCAGCAAGTGAAATGCAGGAAGCAAGCATGGCCACTGAAAAGAAATGATCCGATCCGCCAAAGACACTATGCTCAGCGCCGGATTTCTTTAACAGTCCGGGGTTTCCTATTCCATTCACCTAAGTGTCTCTGTAGCTCAGAAAATCACGGATGGGAAGTGTGTCAAGTGAGGAACAACAAGGGGACGAACGGGGCACGAACAGCTATTCAACAAGCAATCTGTCATCAGTTAGAAGATTCATGGTTGAAAAACTGAAACCGACCTCTGAAAATGTGGAGTAGGTAGTATACTGATTGGATCCGACTAGTCGAAACAGTGACATATTTGGCGAACCTTGTTGGACAGTTACTAGGATTGAATAAGAGGTGAAATGGGCTAAAATAATGACAACCCCCAATTGTGTAGTTTGAGAAAAAGGAATAAGAGGTGTTCATTCTCACTTTGTTAGGTGATTTAATCAAACTGAGTGAAACAGTTAGAGGTTTAAAATGAATGTAAGGTGAAATTTCCAGCCCAACCTAGAGGTAGAAAATAAAGATGACAAACTAAGGTCGCAACTATGACGCGCACAACAGTCTACCAATTAATCGCTTGTTGAAAATAAGCCAGCTGACAGGGTACGGTTAAGGAACAATAGGCTTATAAATATGCCTTTGACTAAATGCGGGATGTCTCAGTGGTTAGAGCGCGAATTTACTGACCGGAAAGTCCATGGTTCGAACCCGACCTCTGTATCTTAACTTCTCCTGTCTATGCCTAGCGTTTCCGCTAGGCACGGAAAGGGCATTACGGCTGAACGGTTATCTTATTATCCAGCTGAGTAGACCATCCAAACACGTTATCTTTAATCAAACCATGTGGGGCAACGAAACATTTTACCGACGTCATTACTCCACAACCGCAAGACGGCGCTTTTTTATTCCAAGCGTTCTTAATGTGCAAACGTGATAAATGCATTGCCGAATGTCGATCGATAGCTAACGGTTCACGATGGTTATCGGCAAAATTGAGAAAACCGCTAAGCAAGTTAGTGGGAACAAAGTTGGCTACGTTGGGTGAATGTTCAAATCGAATCCCTCCATACCCATTTCCTCTAACCCGTTACCAGTAGTTTGAGCGGAAGGCGTGCCAATTGACCTTGTGTATGTAGAAAATGTACAGATGTACTAAGAGATTTGAAGATGTAGCTTTGGTGGAGTCGCAAATCAGGACAAGCGGACAGACAATTCATTCGTCTGTATTTAAACAGACCCCAGAAGTATGAACTCAAATTAATGGAAGTTGATATGTGTCACAGAAAATCATATCCACTTGATAACCATTATTGTTAGCAAGGAAGTAACACTAATCAAGCGGCTACGACAGTGTCACGTTTCCTGAATCAGGCTTAAACGACTAAGTAGTGCCAGCCATAGCAATGTGATTCCACCTGCGAAAACCTCAGGTAGGCTGAATGGCCTGTCACCTTGGTGGTCTCTTTCAAATGGTTGACTGTTTGTAATCCCATCCGGTTGAGGAGTAAGCGGACTGACGTCATTTTCAGATCACCGAGTGCCCCTTTACGAAGTGTTCTCACAAAATGGCCATCATGGGCAGTAGAGGACGTATCAAAATGCAATTCGATTAGTGACTCCTGGTATCAAATGATGGCAACTAGAAAATATCAACGTACCTGACAGCACAATCTCTATTTGAGGCACGAGGGCACTGATTCTTTCCACAACTCCCGATGACACTCGTTGTCGAACGTCCACTGCTGCTCCCGCCACCACATGTACTGCTGTTACCACCTCGGGTAATTGGTGTTGCCGACTTTTCTAGTCGCTGCGCCGAGAAGGATCGGGGCTTCATTCGATCTAATTTAAGCAAACCACTAGGATGCATTTCCGTCGGATGTAAGTGAGCTTGATTCATGCTAGGCCGTTGTAAACACGCACTCGCCTCCACTGTGGACATTTGCGGGAATCGGGAACCGCTCACCGGATGCAATCCGTTGTTAAGGTACGGAATGCCTACCGGTTGCTCTTGCTGTGTTCGGGCATAAACGCCACTCGAAGAATAGTGATGCGCCGGTTCAACTACAAAAATATCGCACACAAAACAAACGAAGTGATTATGGTCATGCCGGTGAGCAGCTTAAGCAAAAGGGGTGTGAAAAAAAATTATGGTCATGGCCGGTGAGCGCTTAAGCAAAAGGGGTGTGAAAAAAAAACTGAAAAACTACCAGTAAAGTGGGGAGAGGCATCAAGAAAAAACAAGCATCCATCAGTTATTTCGAAGCGAACAGCGAGGGAATCGATGGAGCTAATAGACTCTCGAGACATCCTACTAATGCCTCATTAACTATGAATTAGGCAAGTCAACTAACTGTGTCTGCAGTCAAACGAACTGGGATGGAAAGCAAGACGGCGTGGTGTTAAAACCACATTTGAAACCAGAGATAGCGGGACGGAAAAAACGGGTCCTCTACAGCTGGCGTGTCCGTGACGGACAAAAGCTTGGGAATCGATAAAACAGAGATGAGGGAGAGACAGCCAGCGGGTAGTGCTCCTATGCCTTATACGGTCGGTTGTGCCGAAGGCAAAAGCGGTGGCTTCTGAACAGCCCTATTTGAGGCACCCAGAGTTAAAGGCCGTTAAGCGGCGATGCAGTGGTAATCTTTTAGTGATAGCCAATTAGAAAAGAATTTTGGATATTCCGAAATTCATCGGATAGGTTTTTACAAATCCGCTGGACAATCAGACTGCATTTTTGAGGGCAAATACTTCTGTTCTATTCATCAAGCGATGACATTCCTGGTGATATCTATCGCCTGAGGCGGACATATAAAGTGCCGCGAAATGTGCAACGCTAAGTCAGTGCATTGGTGGCACACCTAACCCAATATTTAGGTTCTGCAGGAGGCAAGATAGCCCACGTGGTTAGAGCACGAATTTACTGACCGAAAGGTCCATGGTTCAAACCCTCTGCCTCTCGACTCCCCCTGTTTGGGCTTGGGCAACCTGACAGTATCCCAGACCTCGTGCTTCCCTCGGGTGGCATGGCAACTAGGCAACGGAAGGGCACTACAGCTGAACGTTTTCTTGTAGGTTCTGCAAGTAGGACATAATAATGAAGAACAAAACCCGTGAAAAATTGGAAGCAAAAGGTTGGTGATTGACGACCTCCTGACCTAAGGGAAGATGTACCGATCATCAAAAACCCCTCATCGGGGGGGGGGGGAAGTGCCAACTGAATGCACGATAGGATGACAGTGTGACTTGTAGAGGACAAGACAATGAGAAACGTCAAGTGGTGCAAAAATAAAGTACATCGCTTTTTGACAGCTGAGCAGAAAAACGTTAACCTAACGTGCATGAGACTACTCATCACCTGCAATAGTAGGCCACTGACCAGTAGGACAATAATGCTAGAAAGTACGATTCTGAAATCAACCCGTTGAAACGACAATACAGATGTCCCCATGTGATGAGATCGCGCTTGGAAGTGACCATTTTCAGGTTGACAACTCTACTCCAATGATCGCGAAAAATTCAGCCATCGCCAATAACGCAGAAATAATGAGTCGGTAGAAAATCATATCGCCTTATACAAGCCTTTCTAACATCTAACAATATCGTACTAACGTGCGCAAAAACTGTCCATTCACCCGATCTTGCTTTGCCACATTCACGCAAGACTGACACACATACTAACCGGAAACACCAACAAGCACCAGCAGAGTTTAGGCTATGCAAAGCTTCGTTCGACTAGTTAACCATTTCGATGCTAATCCAACTCTGACATCATTCGAATGGACGCGTCTCTATGCGTGGCAAGGAATAAGTCTATTCCTGGTAGAGTGTGTATTGATGCCAAGCAGTAGCACGAATACCAAGAGCGACGGAAATTAGTTTCCGCAAGTCGTACCATCAGCCTGACAGCATATTCTGACTTGCATATCACCTGCCCCCACAGAAACGCTCCATCTTCAGTTGCCAGCCAGAACGGTACGCCCATCGGCACTGTCCTGGGCCTACTAAACAGGTCGAAAATGTGAAGCGGAAGACAATGTCAAGGAAGCGAGGTTAAGCAAAAAGATGAATGACAGGAAAGATTTGCAAGGAAAATAAGTCAGTGTCAATAGCTACCGGAAAAGACCGGTGAATGACAAATGGCCAGTGCAACTGACAAGAAACAGCGTATTCAACTAACCATCTGGTATCACTCGTGAGGAACCAGTTAAGAGTGGGGACACCACATGAATGCAATCAGGTCCACGCAACAACTGTCGGAGATCCGATGAACAGCTCACTCACTTCAATTAATATTCATCAACGATCAATACCAGTTTCGACCGTGCACCCATAAAAAATATGAACATATGAACCGGGTGAATCACGGATCAATTTATTTGTGCTGTTAGTAAAACTCCAAAAAACCACGTCCGAAAAGGCGCTACTCTCCCAGAGAGTCCATGATAACGTTTCCTGTCAAACACGACCTAGTGTGGCCTCCGGAGAAGTCTCACCCCAGTCAAACTAAATAACTGCTCTTCGTGAGGAATTGCTGTGCGTAGTATACCGTTCTTCTCATGCGAACAAACTCACCTGATTTTGAATAACAGTCATCACACCCAACATTGTAAAACTAGAGGAGAACACCGGTGCTTCACTACGGCACAACCGTATCAGTTTACTTGAATAGTCCTATGATGGAAAGGGGCCTAGGACTAGCATACCAAAAAGATCCGGGGTGCTTAATGCAACAATCCGAATACAAATTGGGAACATGGAAGCTGTTGACATACGGTAGCTGCTATGTCTTTCAGTGTCTCTAGCTAGACACACGTATATGTTGTCCTGGAAAGTGAACAACAGCAATCAGACTTTTCGAAACATCCCTCAGCCCCTTCTATCATGTCACATTCTATCCACCTCTAGCTTCTGGAACTACGAATTGGGTACGAAGGATAACCCAAATTGCGTAGAATATGTTCAGCCACCCTAGCTTGCAGTGCCGAATGCATTTCATCGGGGACCCGTTTCTTGACCAAATCATTGTGGACCGATTTCAGCTATAGTTGTCACAAATCGGCGGTTAAAGGCCTGAAGTAAAAATATTTGGGATAGAAATTGAAGTGTTTGTGTGTGGAACGTAGCTTAGTCCTCTCTCAATGGTATATTGTGTTGCAGAGTGGTAGAAATGGAACGCAAACAAACACCGGCAGCTATGAAAGTTGAACGCAGCCAGGACACGCAAAAAGCTCGACAACAGGAGAAAGACGGTATGAGATACAGTGTGGGAATAAATCACGCATACGTCGACATCTAGGTGCTTATGAGCACGTAGCTAAGACGGAATTTTTGTGTACGACCAAGTGACTGGCCCGTTTGGCAGACAAACCCGCAAAGAAATATTATTTCGAAATTCGGAATCGCGGTAACTTGAGAGGTACCGCGGTCCGACTTGCGTCTGTCAAGGCTGTTTAAGTGAACACATGGTTTGGTAAAATGAAGTTGAACTGAAATGTACCTGTGGGGAGATTGTCCTCTTTTTGGGGGCATTTTCTATATCTGTTCAAAACATTAGTACTCCTGGATTTCCAAGGCGTATTTGACTCAGCTGACGGGTATATTTTCCTAAACACGCTTGCACGGCAAGGAATATCTCGGGAGTTTGTCAAAGTAAATACTTCTTTGTGTGAGCATTAGGAGAGATCTCCAAAAACCTCCATACACATGGTGGTGTCCAACAAGGATGCCTACACTCTTCATTCCTACTTAATTTCATGATTGGCAAGATAATGGGGCCAATGCTGGGAGGCCTTCAAAACCCGGGTGTTGAAATAGCTGCTGACAAACTTCGTCAATCTGAAATATGCAGGAGATAAAGTTCTTGGTGTCGAAGAGAAGGCGCAAGTGATTTTTTTAATGAACTGACTTGAGTTATCCCGTCTTTTAGCACATGCAAAGTGCAAGGTCATGTTAATTTGAGACATTTATGGGACGCGTGTATCAGGCTACAGTACGGGCTATTGTTGTATGGCTGTGAGATTCGGCATGTTCGAGCAGCGTCTTCAGGTGTTCAGAAACTGTTGTCTCAGAACTGCATTTTCAGTAGATTGGTTTCGGCGAATCCACAAGCAGACAATTAGAAAACGAGAGTTCAGTTGTGCAACAGAGACTTCAATCAAAAAATGCGTTCAGCAACAGAAGCTGCGTTGTGGTTAGGCCATGAGTTGCGCATGCCGAAACACCGTTTGCCGAAGAGTGCTCACATCAGAGTGGCAGAAGCAGAGACGCGGCCAATCTTTGAAGTATGGAAGAGATTAAGAAAATTGAGTTCTGTCGGTGCAACTATCCTTACAGGGTGGGTCAGCGTGATCTCCGCTGCATCTGTTGGAAAGACAGTAAGACATGGATGATAACAGATATCAATGGCGTTCGTGTTGTCGGTTTCTATTCGGATCACCTAATTGAGTGTATGGAGGCGTAGGCACCTCGGAATGATTGTGGTAGGCTGATACTAAGTCCCTTTCCCGTCCACTTTTATTCTTCATAATAAGGCCTTCAAATAAAATAAATCATTACGGCAGCAAAGCATGAGCGTTAAACACTGATGCTATGCTGTTGATGATGATGCTGATGAAAGTGAATAGTTAGGAGGAGAAAAGAAATACCCTTTCATATCATCCTATGGCTTTTAAATGGCGCTAGTCAGCAATTAAACAGGTTTGTCTTAACTGCTCAAGAAGTTAAATGAAAAGCGGTCGTTTGAGATGGATGAACCGATAAGAAACACAACACTGGAACGAGCAAGGTAATCGCAAAATGTAATGGAGTTGAAAGAAGCCCAAGAAATCAGCGCGATATTCTCGTGATTTATTTCGGTGCACGGGGCATAAGTCAATTCATGGGGAAACCGACGCAGGCATCACCGAGTCCCATGTGATAGGACTCGTACGACCAAATTCGTTTGTTTTATTGGGGTCCTACGAGAAGTAGTGTACCACAGATGAATGAGGCCACAAGAGGATTAGAATGGCGAAACGGATCGTGAGTACCTTGAGGCGAAAAATACATAGGGAACGGTGGGACAAAATGAGGGCGAAAGCCAGACGGTTGGTGATGTTTCTACTCGTCGGTCCAACTAAATGACTATGACAAGTCCCAGGAAAGATTACAAATGTACGGCCGCCATAACAGTTGATGGTTTGAACCATAGTAGCATCTATACATAGCAATCAATCGCTTCGGCGCAATCTAGTTGTAAAACTAATTGATGTTTACAAGCGGAGTCGTTTTTATGGGAGGCATGACAAACTACGGCTACTCAAGAAGCCTAGAATGGGATAAATGCTAGAGCTGACTAAGAAAGACAGCAATCGACTGTCGTTAGCAAGCATGCGTGCCAGTGGCGTAGGTACGGCAATTTCCCTCTGAGGAGAGGGACGTTATAACTTTGCAGAGGGTTTCACATTAAGACATGGTCCACAGGGAATGCTGTTGTGACCTCTCCGGGGAGAATCGCCCCCATTCAGATGAGTGTCTTCTCGGGTGGATAATCATGTACTGCAGTAACCACTGTGTACAATGAACGGGTAGGCATCTTGCATCACTGAGGAACGGTCAAAAAGTGTTGAGTCATTATGGGGTCTAACAGCGTCCGTGGGTCTAACTACCTGTGTGACGAGGAAAATAAATAAACATGGACTAGTGTGTCCTCGAAGATACGGTTACGCGTACCCTTACCTGGTGGTTTCATTTCGGTTTTCCTATGCAAACTACAGTACAAGATTGTATAACAGATGGACTCAGTCCATGTCAGTCCAGTCCTTCTGGTTAGATTTACACATAAACTTCGTGGATAGTGTTGGGAAGTAAAAAAAGGGAACGAAATCCACTGCTGAAAAATAAAAAAAGTGGACTAGATTGAAATGCCTGTTCCCAAACTCTCCCACGTAGAACTGTAATCGCGTCCTTCTTTGTACGCAAGATTATTAAAGAACCTCGTCAACCCAGAACTGACGGGTCATAGGATCTCAAAACTACATCGTATGGTGATGGTAGTGTATATCATCATCCTGATGGCCCATTAAGACATCAAACTTATGAACTGAGGCAGAAGTTATTTAAATATTTCGCCAATTACGAACACATGTGTGGCATATTAATTATGGTCCACTAAAAAAGCACAGTTTGGATACAGCCGAGATAATACTAAAATATGGACCTAATGGGGACTGATTTATTCAGAAAATGATCAGCAAAATTCGTCTGACGTAACCTAGACAAGACCATAGTCTAATTGGCATGCGAGGAGTGCGTGACCATGATCCCTGGACGTTCCAGTCAAAAGGGGCTAAACGCAACAGGAGTGCCAAAATGAGTAATGTATACCGGTGATGAGAAAAACAGCCATGAGGGAAATCATCATCATCATCATCATCATCATCATCATCA